CTATGGAGTCGACCTCGCAGTTCTCGACGCTGCCTTGGGCTCGCGCCATCTGGGCCCGAGCAGTCGATTCGAGCGGCATCTGAAGCGTCTCGGAGCGCTCGCCAATGACGCATTGGGGCTCTGCAGCTACTACGCGACGGTGGGTCTTCATGACGGTGGCGACGACGCGCCACCACCGCTCTGCGTATCGCGGCTGGGACACATGAAGCACCTGAACGGCTGCACGCGCATTCCTGAGCTCCTTGCCAAGCAGGGCGAGCGCCACGCGGGATTTATGCACCTCTTCACAGCGTTCGAAGCCGCGTGCGCCGCCGATGTGCCCGAGAACGTCGCGGTGTTAACGAGCTTGAAGAGCTACTTGAACGACTCGATGGAGCTTCTGACATTCGTGCGGCAGCAGCTCGCGGCGCTGCGCCCGCCAAAGCCAGTCGTAGGGGCCGCAATGATTGCGCTGCAGCGAACCAAGCGCATCGAGTGCTACAATGCGCTCCTCCAACAATTCGACACGTCTGTCCGCGCCGTGCTCGGCAGCATGCACCGCAGTAACGACGACAGCGACGACGACATCGACTCGATTCACGCGTGACTCGACGCAGAAGAATAAAAATTCATGCGTCAGATTGTCTATGGTCGCCTGTTTTCCGAGACAAGCGCTGACGCCAGAGACGCGCCAAAGGGCAACTTGAGCGCATCTCCAGAGATGCTCCCAACGCGAGTGTACGTTGCGCGTCAGATGCATCCGATCGCTGACGTCAAGCAAAATGCAGAGTGTGGTATGGTCGTTAGCTACGATAATTGCTATGGCCAGTACAGTAGGTACGGTGCATATACCGGTAGCCCGCGCCGTGGGTTCCATGCGTGTCCTGGATGCCAGTCCGAGAGTCTGAGCGGTTGCGATGGCGCCAAGCAGCGTTTCGGGCGAGGTTGAAGCAAGGGAAGTGCCAAACCGTGCGACCAACATATCAGTGAACTCCTACCGGCAGCATTATTGTGGCCGAGATGGCTTAGCGCCCAACACCTCTCCACCTTCTCGCACCGAGAGTTCGCACCTCGGGTCGACGCCGGACCAAGCATGCGACATCGCCAGCTGGCGATCATGTTCTTGTGGCGTGGGCGGCCACATCCTGACAGTCGCGTATAATATGCTAGAGGTTCGAGCTGGAGGGTCTCTGAGAACCTCTATTCTTTTATTTCTGGTTGGCCTCGGCGCAAAAAAGAGAACTGTATTTTAATGTCGCATTTTTATGTTGTCACGCCATCCTATACATAGTTTACGTTTCATTAAAAAAATTAAAAAGAATCTAGGAATAGAATGGCCGCGACAGCGTGTCCAGTTGGATTTAAATTAACCAGCTGGGCGCGATTACCAAACCGATTCGCTGTCGCTAAAATGGAGTCCCAGTTCCGCTTTCGCTGCATTGAGCCAAAGCAACCTCCGCGCAAGCAACCATTTACACCACCAACAACACCACCACGACCAGCATGAGTGACTCTGATGTCGAAACGAGCGTCCATGGCGGCGTCTACCACCGCGGCAACTTCGAGTACAACGGCGAGGGCATGATCATCGGCTTTGCCCACGAGCGCAAGGACAGCTCCGACCTGAGCCCGACCTGCGGCAAGCGCAAGCTCCGGTGTGGTAACTGCGGCTGCAGGACACACAAGACGGTCGACTGCGCGTTCCTCACCGACTCGGAAAAGTCGTCGAGCGACGACGCGCCGCTCGAGTGAACCGGCCACGCTTAACTTATCCTAGCTCCTTTTAACTTTATTACTTTCCTGTTGACTTGTGTTTGCCTCTTGGCCGTGTAGCGCGTCGTACGGTAGTTTCCGGTGCAAACAGCTCGCCGAGTTTGCTGTTCAACCATCGCTCGAGGTATCCAACCGCTTTTCTGTCGCCGGGTCGAGAGAGACGTGGCGCAGTGATTGACAGCACCCACGTCACCTCCGTCGTCCTCACGACGACGACGCATTCTCGGAGCGAGAGACCTTGCCGCTCCATCCAGCGGCGCCTCGTTTATCAGACTCGGCGCAAGTGGGAACAAGGAACACGAATGAACGGGGGGTGATTCCCGGTGAAGCCGTTTTACGGGTTGTTTCCTAACCTCACTAGTATATCACGTCGGATGATGGTATTTTATGCTCCATGGGAGGCATGATGGGAGGGGGTCCCGTTCGAAGCTTCCAGCAACGGCGAGAGAAACGAGGACGGTGATGTCGACATGTTGCAAAAATCCGAAATTCCGAAATTCCAGAAGCGTCGCCGTACCACGTGGCGTCGGATCGCACACGTCTCTGCGGCCAGATTTTCGAGCTGATGATCGCATAGAGAGCTCGTTGACTGGTAGAGCCAATCGACGCAGGATGCGTTGCCAAGAAAGATGGAAGCCACGCACCGGGTTTGACTCTAGAAAGCGCGTGCACCAGCTCTGGCGCCCCATCGATTTCATCCGAGGACATTGATTGGTCAGCTCACTTAACAGGAAGCCACGTGATTGGTGGAAGTCCCGGAATGTCGGTCGTGCATTCACAAACAAGCCCGAAGAGCACCCACGAGCTTCCGTCAACGCCCTCCAAGCGCGCGCCCCCGGGGAGCAGCTCCGCAGGGCTACTTGGCGCTGTGTAAAGCATTCCGCTGCTCTTTCATTGCGTCGCTTGAGGACAGTACCTTCTAGCGTACATGTTGATCCGTTGCATTCGCGCAACGAGGTTCACGCTGACACTCATGTGTCCATCATCATGGCGTCAATGGAAGGGGCTTGTGGCGGTTCGAGTTTTGCCAGCGCATAACGCATCCAGCCCCTCGTGATTGCAACTCGACTGCCCGTTTTCACCAAATGCAATTCCGGCCGTGTAGCACCCTCTCGCCCGCATCCTAGCTAGCTACCCCATCGAGAGACTCGAGCGAAATGAGACTTCGACGACGCGCAGTTGCCGTATCTTCTTCGCTCGTTGTCGCAAACTCGATGTTGCGGTCCCTTCTGCTCTCAGAACTTATCGGATCGTGGGGCCGGTTATCCGGACCGTATCCGGAGACGTCCGTGACGCACGGACGCACAGATATTTGTGAGGTCGGAAGCCGCAGCAAAAGATATTGCGATGGACAGCGCGTGGACAGGTCGGCCCATGGCGCCGATGGCGGAGGTTGACGCATGGCCCTGTAGAGCTCAAGAAGAACGTCGCTCTCATCGAGAAGGTCGTCGCGAGCAACAACAAGGAGAAGCTCGCGCGTGTCTTCCGCACGACGTCGGGGATCCGCCGCGGCTTGACGCCGGCCGAACTCACGCGCGCCGTGACCGAGATCCTCGCCGAAGACAACGAGATCCGGTCGTCGCTCCTGAAGTTTATCGGCCTCGTCAAGCCCGATGCTGCGGACGACGTGGACATGACGGCCGGCGAAGACGACCCGGCGGTCGGCGACGTCGAGAAGGATGCGAGCGTGCACATGGAGCGGAGCGAGCTCATTGAAGTCGAGACGTACCTCAGCCTTCTTGTCATTGCGCTTTTGCTCAAGTCACAGCTCGGCGCCGAGGCGCAGGCGTGCGCCGACTTGGTGCGCCAGCGCTGCATGCAGTTCAACCGCCGCACGCTCGACTTGTTTGCGGCGCGCGTCATGACGTACTTTGCGTACGCGTTTGAGCGGTATGGCGAGGGCTACACGGCGATCCGCCCGCTGCTCCTCACGGCGCACCGCACGGCGTGCCTCCGCTGCGACGAGATTGGCCAAGCGACGCTCCTCAACCTGCTTTTGCGCAACTACTTGCACGAGAATCTGTACGAGCAAGCGTACAAGCTCGTGTCCAAGACGACGTTCCCGGAGGCGGTCTCGAACAACCAGTTTGTGCGCTACCTCTACTACGTCGGCAAGATCCACGCCGTCCAGCTCGAGTACACGGACTCGTACAACAAGCTCATGCAGTCGATCCGGAAGGCGCCGCAGAACACGGCGATTGGCTTTCGCCGCACGGTCTATAAGCTCGCGATCATTGTGCAGCTGCTCATGGGCGAAGTCCCGGAGCGCAGCATCTTCAACCAGGCCGAGCTCAAGACGGCGCTGACTCCGTACTTGCAGCTCACCAACGTACGCCTTCTGGAGTCCCATCGTCTCGACTCACGCTGTGTGCTAGGCGGTGCGCGTGGGCAACCTTGAAGACTTTACGGCCGTCCTCAACCAGTTTGCCGACGTCTTCAAGGCCGACAAGACGCACACGCTCATCCTCCGGTACTCGACGACCTCAATGGCAATGCTCTCACATTCGACTAGGCTGCGCCACAACGTCATCAAGACGGGTCTCCGCAAGATCAACACGTCGTACTCCAAGATCCTCTTCTCGGTCCCTCTCTTGAGTTTGCTCGCGTCATTCTGATGGTCCCGAATAGGATATCTGCGCCAAGCTGGCGCTCGACACGCCGCAGAACGCCGAGTTTGTCTGCGCCAAGGCCATCCGCGACGGCGTCATTGACGCGGTCATCGACCACAAGCACGGCTGGATGCAGTCCAAGGTACCTTGTCTTCTTCTTGAATCGACAGCTTCACGACGCATGACAGGAAACCGTGGACGTGTATGCGACGACGGAGCCGCAGCAGGCCTTCCACAAGCGCATCACGTTTTGCTTAGACGTGCACAACGAGGCGGTCAAGGTACTTGACCATACCACATGTGCATCTCATGTGTGTGCGTCCTCTAGGCCATGCGCTACCCGCCGGGTGCGTACAAGAAGGACCTCGAGTCGGCCGAGGAACGCCTCGAGCGCGAAAAGCAGGAAGACGAGCTCGCCAAGGAGATCGAGGAGGAGCTCGATGAAGGTCTCTAAGCTGTCGCCTTGTGGTGCGATCCGCAGTAATGATGATGATCACGATGCTTTGCGTCTACTTGATGTACGCAGTCCCGTTGCACCAAGCGACGCTGCTGGCTCGTGATGCAACACACAGCATAAATGACGGCAGAAGAGATACGCTCGTGGATTGACAAAAGGTACTGTATGGATACGAACGCTGCTTAGAGCGGGATGTTGCCGTGCTTCTTCCACGGGTTCTCGAGCTTCTTGTTCTGGAGCACGTCGAGGTCCTCGCAGATGCGGAGGCGCGTCGCAGTCGGCTCAATGATGTCGTCGACGAAGCCGCGCTGGGCGGCCACCATCGGGTTGGCGAACTTTTCCTCATAGTCGGCCGTGTTGGCCTCGACGTTTTGGCCGCGGAAGATGATCTCGACCGCGCCCTTGGCGCCCATGACGGCAATCTCGGCCGACGGCCACGCATAGTTGACGTCGCCGCGGAGGTGCTTGGAGGCCATGACGTCGTACGCGCCGCCGTACGCCTTGCGCGTAATCACCGTGATCTTGGGCACGGTCGCTTCGGCGTACGCATACAAAAGCTTGGCGCCGTGGCGAATGATACCCGCGTACTCTTGGTCCGTGCCCGGGAGGAAGCCGGGGACGTCGACGAGCGTCACGAGCGGGATGTTGAACGCGTCGCAGAAGCGCACGAAGCGCGCGGCCTTGATCGACGAGTTGATGTCGAGGCAGCCCGCGAGCTCCATCGGCTGGTTGGCCACGATACCGACGACGCGGCCTTCGAAGCGCGCCATGCCGATCAGAATGTTCTTGGCGTAGTCGTTCATGATCTCGTAAAAGTCGCCATTGTCGACGAGCTGGTGGATCACGTCGCGCATGTTGTACGGAACGTTCGGGTCCGGCGGCACGATCGACTCGAGCGTGGGCACCGGGCGGTGGCGGTCGTCGTCCTTGGCGCGCGTCGGCGGCGACTCTAGATGCCAGATCTTAGCGTAGGATATGGATTGCAAAAGCATGAAGCGTACCCTTGTTGTTGAGCGGGAGAAAGTCAAAGAAGCGGCGCATCTCGCGGAGCGCTTCGACGTCGTTGTCAAAGGCCTTGTGCGCGACGCCCGACGTCTTGGTGTGCGTGACGGCGCCACCGAGCTGCTCCTGCGTCACCTCTTCGTTCGTGACCGTCTTGACGACATCGGGCCCCGTCACAAACATGTACGACGTGTCCTTGCACATAAAGACAAAGTCCGTCATCGCCGGCGAGTAGACGGCGCCGCCGGCGCACGGGCCCATGATCATCGTGAGCTGCGGCACGACGCCGGACGCGAGGACGTTCTGCTGGAAAATGTCGGCGTACCCCGCGAGCGACGCGACGCCTTCCTGGATGCGCGCGCCACCCGAGTCGTTGAGCCCGATCACCGGCGCGCCCATCTTCATGGCCTTGTCCATGACCTTGATGATCTTCTCGGCGTACGTCTCGGACAAACTGCCACCCAGCACCGTAAAGTCTTGGCTAAAGACGAACGTCAAGCGGCCGTTGATCTTGCCGTGGCCCGTGATGACACCGTCGCCCGGGTAGTGCTGCGTCTCCATGCCAAAGTCCTTGCAGCGGTGCGACTTGAGCATGTCGTACTCGCGGAACGAGCCTTCATCGAGGAGGAGCTCAATGCGCTCGCGGGCCGTGAGCTTGCCCTTCTTGTGCTGCGCGTCCTGGCGATGCGCGCCGCCACCAAGCAGCGCTTGCGCGCGCGCTTCTTCGAGCTTGGCCTTGAAAGCCAACTTGCGCGCCGCCGGCGTCACCTCGGTTGCCGTCGAGAAGGCCGCCGCAAAGGCAGGCATCTACACATACAGCATGTCAACCTTCCACTCTACTGCACATGCTCCTCTTACGGGCGCGCGGACAAAGGACGGGCGGGTCACCGCACGCAGCAGTACGGATCGCATCTTGGTGCTTGTGATGGCCACAAAAATAAGCAAATGACGCAATACGCTTTCAGAGGGTGCTACCACCTGTGAAAATACATACATCTGGTCACCGGGCCCCGGGGCACGGACCAGAAAGGCGATCATTCGCGTTGTGGCGCCAGTAGCTGGACACCATCACCCGCCCGCCGAGCGTCGCGATGGACACACTGTGCGGTTGTCGCTGGTCGCCGCGCCGCTTGAGAAGAACTTGCGGAGTAGCTACCTGTACCTGGTCGCTCAACCTGCTTTTGACCTTTGCTAACGTTGCGTTCTTCCAGCAACAGTCCAAGGCTGTGCGTTGGTGCAATGCCTTGTCGTTGGGGCTTTCTCAGTACAAGTAGAGGTGCGTGGTAGAACTCGACGCTGGCTTACCTTGGTATGTCGAGATGTGTGGGAAGAGCGTCGATCCCAGCCGCTGCTTCGTGCTGGGGCACGGCCGGGGCACGCGTATAAAGTGTGACAAGGTCGCCTCGCATTTGCATACAGACTGTTTTGCCAAAGCACGGGTGCAAGCGGCGGTGATTGGCTTAAAATCGAACGGACACATCCTGATGCGCCACGAGATTCAACCATTGGACCAATCATCGACGCGCCGATCCAGATTCGAACCAATCACACGGCGACGACCTTGAAGTTGGGGCGCACTTCGTGTGCAATCCGAGGGAAATCCCGCGCCACTCGTCATCGCGCATCCGGCGTGGCGACCGTGTCATGTCCAGGCAGCTGCTTCCCACACGGTCATCGCACTTTGCATCTATGGCCTTTGCACTTGGAGCAGACGACTGCGACGTCTATCGATCACCTTGGCCACGACATCCTGGCTCGCTTCTCCAGCACGGTGGTGATTCAAGGGTGTGCGCGCCATATCTGTAGCATTGCTGCATGAACATGCTTCGCTCATGATGGCGGTGACATAGGCACGTAGCAGGATAGATGACTGGTAGCAGAACGCCTCGGCGCGCGTCCGATTGACCTCGCTGTTGTTCTTGGATGTGCTTCTCGGACGGTAGCTTGTTTAGCAAAGCGAATCGAGAGGTGTGGCGCTTCGAGTCATCTACGATTGCGTCCAAGGGACCGGGTATGTCGTGGAAGAGCGAGGTTTGGTCTTGTCGTTCTCTTTTGCTGGGCTTGAAGGCTCGTGCTCGCAGTTGAAGTCGCCAACGCGATCGCACCCGAGCTCGAACAACGCGATCTCCTCACAGACCGGCTCGGCGTTTGCAGGATGTCGTGGACCAAAACATATACTTGACCATAGGGACCATACCGGTACCGGCGTCATGCTGGATGCGACAGAGGCCCAGACGCGGGCCATTCGCTCAAGGAGCTTTGGGAAGACCATGGCCGCGGCTGTTGACGGCTCGGGACATGTATTTCGAGGTGGCAGGCGACTTCTGTGCGAGGACGATTCCGCCTCCAGCGGAGCCAGATAGAATCCAGTCGTTGACAACAACGTATATATATATGAACGCGTTTCGTGTTATGTTCGTTGTTGCAAAGAGTTCGCGTACGTAGAGACTAGCCCTTCTTCTTCATTCGCTCGCCGGGCCGTGGCTGCGCAGGCGGCGGCGCGGGGGCTCGTCTGGCTCTTCTGTAGTCGTCCAGGGGCGCTTGCGGCCGTGGGTGAGGCCCATGAGGACACGCTGTGTAAAGGCCTTCCAGGCTTAGACGTCGGCGGCAAAGCTACGCAGGTTGTTGAGGTCCTCGAGAGATGCCAGCGACCGAGGCGGCGTCAACGACTGGAGGTCGCGGTGCAGGACGATCGGCAACGTGATCTTGGTGCGGCCGAAAAAACGGGGCGCCTCGGGCGCAGCAAAGAAGCGGGCAGCGATAATGTTGGCAGGGACGTCTTCCTTCAGGCGCAGCACGTGACCCAGCAGGCGCTAGCGCTGGCGGGCGGCGATCTCGCTCAGCGGAACGCTGTTACAGCGCTTGTTGAGCGCGACGTCGCCGAGCGTGCTCGGGTGAAAGATGCCTAGAAGGCGACGCAGCTGCTGGCGATGGAAGCTGTCAAGGCCCGCCAGACTCGTTGGCGTCAGGGCCCACGTGCCACAGTTGTACAAGACGACCGAGAGCACGTAGCACTTGTACAGCCGCACACGGTTGCCTTCCGAGATGAGGCCTCGACGCATCCAGATCTTCCACATGTTGAACGCCGTTGTCGCCAGTCGCTTCCGGGCGCGCAGATCGGCCGCGTCGTCGCAGAAGCTACCGAGCTTCTTGCTCGTGTGCCACGCCAAAGAGGCCGCGTGCGTCGGCGCGTCAACCTGCGTCGACCTGAATACCTGCATTTCCTCCATCTTGTCTGTATTCATCTTGAGGTCCCACCGGGCGAAGATGGATGGCACCGCGGCTTTGATCCTGGTCATGGCAGCATCGTCGTGGCAGATGAAGGCCGAGTCATTGGTGTGGGCGACTGTGTGGGCGAGTAGGTCATCCTCCTCGCCGAGCGTCTGCGCGAGGTTCTTGAGCGCGGCGTCGAGATACACATTGAACAGCGCCGGCGACAACGAGTCGCCTTGTGGCGTACCGATGTTGGTCTCGAACGGGATGTATGACTTGCCGTCGATGCGCAGCCGGAGCGTCGTGGTCGTGGGCAGCAAGCTTGTGTGTGGGGTTTCTGCAAGTACGCCCGAAGCTCGATCTGCTCTGTTGTCAGTACGTTGACATACGTTGACATAAGGCCTGTAGGGTAAGCAGCCGAGAAAGGGCCCGCGGTTGGCGACGAAGCGGCGTGCGCTCGCTTCGCCGTCGCCGTCCATGCGCGTGGCCAAGATAACGGCGCAGGTGCAAGACATGTACCAGCGCCGTAATCTTGGCCACGCGCTTGGACGACGATAGCAACGCGAGCGCCCGCCGCTTTGTCGCCAACCGCGGTCTCTTTCTCGGCTGCTAACCCTACAGGCCTTATGCCAAGGATGAAAAAGATTTCATTGAACATACCTTGGTGGTCGCCGAGTTCTTGGCGCCGGTTTCCATGTCGACCTATCGAACTTGCCTTCATGCACCTTACATAATGTAGCTGCACGTACCTTCGTGGCCGCGGGGGACACTGGCGCTGCCGCGGCCGGGGCGTCGGCTCCGCTGCTCGTGTGAAACCTACAGAGCTTGCCCTCGTGCACCTTTCCATGGCATGCA